CGATAACAATCGATAACAATCGATATCTATTGATAACAATCGATATCTATCGATAACAATCGATATCTATCGATAACAATCGATAACAATCGATAGCTGTCGATATCTATCGATAACAATCGATATCTATCGATAACAATCGATATTTGTCGATAACAATCGATATTTATCGATAACAATCGATATTTATCGATAACAATCGATATCTCGAAAGTCAGTCCCACTTATTCCTCATTGGTTCAATCGTCTGAGGCGCATAATTTGAATTCAAAACTCATTTAATTAAACAATTTTCAATCACGATTTTTATAATGAAAACGCAGGGAACGCGCGTTCGGTCTCGTTACCTAAAAGTTAGTTATACATTTTCTTAAACAGTTAAATAACTTTTACTGAGGATTCAACAAATTTTACCGAGCGGTACGGTAACTTTCTCCGAACAGCTAAAACAACCGGTTATATATACAGGCAATTTTTACTGCCTTCTTCTCTCCGTGAATCAAGAAATTTCTCTTGATAAACGAGAATAACTGAATCATGATGAATGCAAACGAGGAATTGTAAAATAATGGAGTGAAAAACGTTAATATTTTCTAAACAATTTGATAGAAGATTCTCCAGCGATTCTGGAGGAAAACAGTTCTCACCGGAGTAATTGAACAATTAGGATGGAGATAAATGACTTGGATTTGAGATCTCGGGTGCATTGAAAAAGTAGAACAATTCACATGAGGTATATTGAAAATGATGAATTCATGGAAAATTACTCTTTAATCGAGAGAATCCTGAGAAAGGGCAACGGGCGTAACGTTTCCTCTTCAAGTTGAATCATCAAGTTGGCCGATAGATCGAGGTTGCGGAGTCGCTTGAGTCCACTGAATGCCCCCGATGGCAAGTGAGTTAGTCGACACGAACCAAGATTTAACTCCTTCAACAAAATAATAATCACTTTTCATTTTAAATTATCTTTCATTTTTCACCTAGATCCATTTATTCAGAGGAAAGCGGCAAATCTAACGCACAGCAAAATCAATAACTAATATAGAGTGAAATTAAATTCCCTCTCATCTGGAAAGTTATTATTATAAATATTATAATATAATAAGCTTACAGCACATGTAGAGACTGTAATAAAGTCATTTATAATTAGTAGTAGTATAATTTAAAATTCAAAGCAAATTATATTCGATAGATAGTGCAGACCTTAAAAACATTCTTTGGAAAGTTACGAATGAATGAATTAATTAATTAATTAATTATAAATTATAATTATATATAACATAATTTTCAGCAAGGCTACACTAAGAAAAAAATTATTTTTGCTATTTATTCATCCGCTTGAAAAACATAGTGAGATTTTTAATATCACTAAAACATATATTTCCTCTCTCCAATAATATCTAGAGATTCTCTATTAGATTTCACTCATTACAATTTAAATTGCTCTAAAAAATCATCATTTTAATGATGACCTTGCACGTACTCTCTCAATAATTAACTTGATAACATTATTGATGAAATTCTATGAAAAATTATGGAATAAGATATTCATTGACTCGAGCAAAGTATTCAGATTTTTAATGTCATTAAAAAGATATATTTCCAGAAATTCTCCATCAAATTTCACTCGTTACAATTTAAATTGCTCTAGAAATCGTCGTACTAATTATGACCTTGAATATACTATAATATATTAATGGAAATTCTTCTCAGAAGAATTATTTATTTTACTCACTGTAATTGAAGGATTTTCTAAGAAGGGAATATGGTGATTGAAATTGTTCCCGGACAATCTGAGGACTCTCAAGTTCTTGTTATCAATGAAGGTATTGCGTAAAATATAGTACAGATGATTTCTGGATAAATCGAGAACAGTCAGTTCCTCCAAACCAGAAAAAGCCGATAAACCAATTTCGCTGACAGCATTGTCCGAAAGATTCAAGTACCTCAGGTGCGTTAATCCCGTCGACTGCAAATTTCATTTCAATTATTAAATCAATCAGTGTTGCAATTATTCGCGTACATATTCCGCCAAATATATACAATTATCTATAAACAATACATAATTAATAATAATTATTATAAATAGTTATAAAGAATGAGATAATTATGATATTCAAGTTGAAGAAGGAATTATTCCCGGTTTATTCATGGCGCAATGGATTGCAGACAGAAAGTCTTGAATGATTTCTAAAAATTTTAAAAATTCATTCCGGCCAATAGAATTGCACCATGAGACGAAGCTCACAGATTAAAAATAAGAATTATATCTGTCAGTTGGTCGTGGAGTTAATTTAACTGGATAATTCTTTGTTTTTTATGTAACAACTACCAGAGGGGATTATTAAGGTGGTTGTCGCGCGACAGTCTCTGTAAAAAGTTTATCCACTGTAAAACGGACCAGTTTAGAACACAATCTTTTAGCGGTATATAGTCTCACTTGATTGATTGCATTGTGCATGGATAGCTAAAGCATAACTATATATTTTCCATATTAACTATTTTCAATTATATAAATTTATGAATTTCCGATAATTATATTCCGTAAACCAAACGGTCCATCGATTTGATTTTTTTTTCTGTATTTCCTCCCACGATGTATATTCCACGTTCTTTTTTATTTCTGAAACTGTCGAGCCGTTGATTTTTAAAAAATTCTAATCGGCAAAACTCCATTTAAACACGTGTTAAATCATTCGAATTTCAAAAATTTATATCTCAAGTTCAAAATGGTCAATTGCAAACGGAAAAGGCTCATTTTGTTGCTAATTTTTCAAACTATTCACCATAAAATTGTTAACGAAAACTGTCGAAAAAAAATCCAACGCGACAACAACCTTAAATAAATCATCAGGATAACACCATTGTAGGTTATACCACGTGACGTCGAATGGTGCAATTCTATTGGCCGATATTAGGCTGGGAAAAATAATCGTATAAACATAGAGTGAAAAACAAAATTTAATTTTTGCCTGGTATTATTATATATTATTTCAAACAAAAATTCAATAGGATTCCCTCCACCCCAATGCCTTCATTAATAAACAAAATGAGGACTCACACTGTCTCACAATTAGGATGAATTGTCGTTGAGGCAACGGTAAAATTTTCGAGAAAACAGTATGTTGAAATCAGTGAATAACTGGAAAGGATACGAATAATGCACTCTGCACTCATAAATCAGTGGACTATCACCGAAGCTCAGGACAAAGACAAATAAAGAGGAACAAAACCCGTGATTCATCTGACTATTGCTGCAATGAATGGAAAAATAATTTACCTGGAGCTCGTAATCCGCCAGAATGGAAATGGAATTATTGGAAATGTCAAGGGCCTGGACAATGTCAGATATTCCCGTGTGAATGCTGTAGAGATGTTGACCTGAGCAAGAGGCCCATCGTAGATAATACCAAGTATAGCAGGAACAAAACACTGGGCAATTGTCATTGTTACCTGCTGATCCCAAAGGCTCCGCAGGTATATGAAGGACAATCAGTGTAAGTACAAATACTATATCCTTAATGTGAATTTTACCCCCAATTCGACGAGTATTATTCATTGTGTGTTATATACTGAATTTCCAGATACTGCCGTGTGGATGTACCCATGTAATCTTATCTTTTTAAATTTTAGTCATCACTGCGTCACTTTGACGAATTGATACGAGATCAGCCGATTCACATGTCTCCAAGTTTTCAATTATCGCCGGGAATGTCTTGCACTGAGAGACGAATTAATAAAAAATGTTAACAATAAATTGATGTTGCAAATGAAGTAAGTGTATTTATAACGAAAATTTTATTAGGACGGGAAAAAGGTATCCTTAATTGATTGAAGATTGATTCAATATGAATTGATCAGAAGATGTCATTAGAATTTGGAATTCAAATTCAATTTTATTAATAATTACAGCCACAAGTACATAATTTAATTTATATAAACAATTTGTTCATTTCAGAACACGCGAATACAACCACAAACTGCAACACAAAAAACTTTATCATCAGTACAATCACATGCCTATGTTCCATGTATGTATAAACAACGAATAATTAATAATAATAGTTATAAAAAATTAAGTAATTATGGTATTTAAGTTGGAGAAGAAATTATTCCTGAGTTATTCATGACGGAATAGATTGCTGACAAAAAATGTTACATTCTTCATTTTTTTATTATATACATTTATATATATATATTTATTTTTTAAAAAACATCAGAATTTTCAAATGTTGCTCGTGAATTTTATGCCCTGACGTTCTTCATAACTCGTTGTAAAACTAGTCCTAAGTCTTCCTAGGGTGTAGCATTGATGAATATTTTCATATACATTCATAAGCACATAAAGAATGATTTTGTAATTTCATAAAAAAAAACTCACTTAATTCTAGAATTTTATGGTAATGAAAATTCATGAGCAGGTGATCCTACGAATAAATGACTTCTCTACATGCTTGAAAGAGATTTCTGCAGTTTAACTATTAATCTTTGAATAATAATGATAGAAAATGGAAAAATTACGACATGTAAGTCAAAGAAGGAATTGCTGTAATTATTTCTCTATTTATTTTCTGATTCTTTTTTCAGTAATTCATTCTTCAGAAATTACAGAAGTACATAAAATGAGCTACTCTATGTACATTTTAAATACTTCTACATTAGTGAATACGAAGAAAAAATAACTGCTTCTGGTGAATTTGTACAGGCAAATGTATGGACGGGAATATTTACATCGAAATATCTGGATTTTAAGGTAATTACTCAATTTACTTGGCGGTAGTAATTTTTCTCATCACGAAGGGATCGAATTTAATGGAAAATCAATCAGTTTATACCCCAAAGTATTTTCCAGCTCCAACAGAAGGCGCCACAATGTCTAATTTTCTCTCATAAAACAACTTGCAATTGTGCATCGAGTACCGCTATATCCTCATGTAGCCCACACGCATCCAATTATCATCGTAACGCTTTCATTTCACTAATGCAAAAACGCCTAATGCGTATAAAATTGAGTAAAACTCGGAGAATAGCAAATCATCTACCTGCAATTGGACGAGAGCCGCAATAAAGAAAGGAGATTAACAATTCTTGGGATAAATTTAATCCGACAACTCATGAATGATTAATCACATTTTTTTTTAAGGAGACGCATAAAAAAAACAACAAAACGCTGATTGGAGGCCATTGACAGCTCTGATAAGGAAAAATGTATTTGGGAATTTGAAGAGTAAAAAATGTGGCATTACTCGATGTATTTATCAGTAATAATCCGCTGTTTAAAAAATTAATTGGTGTAAGTATTCAATTTAATTATTTTTCCATTTTCTTTTTCTAAAATGTACTATTGTATCAATTTATAATGATAATATAGTATAATAATAATAATAATAATGATATTATGAATTAATTTGATTAAATATGAAATATATCTGTTTTTTATTTAATATAATTTATATTAAACAATAGTCTTGAAGCTAACAAATGAAATTAATGAATAATTGCAAGAATTCATATTTGAAAATCAAATTGAAAATTAGTATTCCTTGAAATAATTATTAAAAATAAATATAATAAATTAAATTTTTATTTTTTGTATATCAAGATTAGAAGAATATTTTTCAAGTTCTCAATGGTTACAAAAATTAATATAATAGAATTAAATAATTAATTCTTCTCTTTCCATTTTATATAACAATTTAATTAAGAGTATATTCATTCATTTTCACTCGATATTTAAACAGTAAATTGGCGCGAATATATTAAAAGATTGAATTAATCAAATAGTTATTAAGTTCCAAACAATTTTTGATTTTTGACAACAAATAGATTTACAATATTTTCATGATGAAATTTTTCTCTCTGTGAGTATCTAGGTTTTTTAGGGATATTTAAATAAAATAGTGGAGAATCCACAACAATTTCAAACTGGATATAACTGTGACACTTGAGCATTATTACATTGAGCAAGGGGGGAGGGATTGCCTATATAACGGTAAAGTAGGTTTCGTTCAATTTACATTCCATGAAGTAAAAGAGTAAAGTAGGCCTTGCCCAGAACGCAGCCTAGGCTCACAAAGCGGAAGTTGTTGCTTCTCTCCGTGCATAACATATTATAAATACATAATTTTCACAGTACGATTACGAGAGTAATTAATATCTACCCTCGACAATTATCAAACATCACTCATCTATCTTATCAATTACTCCCATCTCCAGTCATCTTTATTCATCCCTTGCAGTTCATTTTTTCGTTATGTAAAAACATCAGAGTATAATCAAGGTATTACAGATTTTTTAGATAGAAATCACTGAAAATTATTCTATTATCAGTTGTATTTATTTACCAATACCAAGACTTGAACTTTCATTTTTTTCCTCATTTTCAATTCCAGGAATTCTTGTTTTTATCTTATGGAAAATTCAAGTCCTATCAGTTAATCTATCGAATAGTTTCTATTTAAGGCCCGGATGGACTGTCTGGAAAAGATAATTTACTCCAAAATGGGGACTTCTAATTAATCCGTCAATTAATCGTTTTTTTTCGATAATTGTTAGCTAGCGGCCTAGCTAACAATTATTGAAAAAAAACGATTAATTGCCAAAGTAATTAGGAATCCGAATTTCAGAGTAAATTATATTTTCTAGACAGTCTATCCGGGCCTTAAGAATTTTCTATTCCATAAAAATTAATGGAAATCATTCTGTAGTCAATACTATTTTCTATTTTTATATTTCAGATGCTGAAATTTCATCGGATAATCTACAACAAATTCTTTTGCAATTCTATAGAATGGAGACGCAATTTGAAAATTTTATAGATTTTTAATAAAAAATTGAAATTAAAATTTGTTTATTCACGTTTTTGCCACTGGATATTGATTTTTTGCGCAATGTGCATAATAGAATCTGATTGGACAGAAACCTTGAACACTTATGCGCTTCTCATCGAAGAAAAATCAATAAACATTCCAAAACTTCTCCTAGAATATTCGATAAAATCCCCACAAAAAAAACTACATAACAGATTTTTCCATTCAAATTCCAGTGAAAATTTTATCGAAATCGAATTGTACTTTACTATATTATTATTATTAACTCCATGTGTAGCCAATGATATTTTTTGCGTATTAAATAGAGCTATAAATTGTAAACAATAATTGTTATAATAGTTTAAAAATGGGTAGAATTTTTTAAGAAAAGTTGATGGTAATTTTGAGAAAATTCTGTGGATTTTTGGATAAATATTTTTTTTGTGCGGTGAAAAAATAAAATATAGAAAGACCTGACATGGACTTGTGCCGGAAATTCAGCCAAGGGACGTACGGCTGATCGAAACCAGGACTCTCGCTGTGAAAAGCCAGTATTTACCGGTGGTAAAAACACCGGCAGTAAAAACAGCGGCAGTAAAAGCGCCGGTTTTCATAGTGAAAACGCCGGGTTTTCTAGGTAAGACAGGCCCCACTAATGGTCTCACGTAAAACTGTTCCCTTTTTTCAGTACAAGAATAGATTCTTCCCTTTAAATATCGGATACCAAAAGAGACAATTTTTTGAGAATATCAATATCTCATTTTTTATATTTTTTTAATAAATTTTTGGAAAATAGTCGACCGCATATTTTTATAAATCTTTCAGTGCAGCTTTATTTTTCAACTTGAAATCTTTTTGAGAATATCTATATTTCATTTTTTATATTTTTTTTATAAATTTTTGGAAAATAGTCGACCGCATATTTTTATAAATCTTTCAGTGTAGCTTTATTTTTCAATTTAAAAATTTTTTGAGAATATCTATATCTCATTTTTTATATTTTTTTGTAAATTTTTGGAAAATAGTCAGCCGCATATTTTTATAAATCTTTCAGTGCAGCTTTATTTTTCAATTTAAAAATTTTTTCGACTTGAAAATTTTTTGAGAATATCTATATCTAATTTTTTATATTTTTTTGTAAATTTTTGGAAAATAGTCGACCGCATATTTTTATAAATCTTTCAGTGCCGCTTTATTTTTCAATTTGAAAATTACAAATACGAATTGATCTTCTAGAAATTGTGGAAACGACTAGATCTATTTGACACAAAAAATTTTTCTCTCGGAATCTCGTACTCATCACATCTATTTTAATGGTTGCATTCAAAAATAAAAATATTTCCTGCGAGTAAAAAATGTCAACTGTTTGGAATAGAAAATCTATTTCTGTGAGGAAAATCAGTCGTGAATTTTCCCCTAAAAATCTTCGAAGTCTCATGAAACGCCATTCTTGGCCTAGATATTAAAAAATAATTTACTTCTTTTAAACATCCAATGAAATTTAAAATATTACATTCAAATCCCACCAAAAACCCTTTATACATAAAAACAAAAATGTCTATAATATGAAAAAACTCCCCAGATTTTCCCAATTCATTAAAATTTTAATAATTATATAATTCAAAATTAGAATTCTTCAAAATATGCCAGAAGATGCGTTTAATTTATAAACATATATTTAAAAACTCCAAAAATATTTTGGAGTAACTCTGAGAATTTGAAATGAAATTGCATAAAGCCCCCGATTTTTCGTCGTAAAAAATATTTAGCATATTTAGCGAAATTTTTCAGAGTGTGGCGATAAGTTGTGATTCTCCTGGAGGTACGCATAGCGGCTGTAAATTAATAATGGTGTGTCGAACAAGAGACGGGTATAAAATGATACATATGTAAAGTACATAGAGGAACTTGGGAGACCAACCGGTGTCGCCGTCACGCTGTCACGCAGAGTGCATTGCGCAACGTCCACGGAAATAAATCTAGGATAGGCCACCGGTTACTGGGGGAATACTTGACTTGCCTCTGTCCAATTGCCAATGTGTGGTATTTCGATATTCAATGTGTACACTTACTTACACTATTCCTTTGTTGCGGCCTTTTAAACCTCCGCAATAATATTTACCACCCGAGGGCAATATCCCACTCTCAATCCCCTCTCACTTCACTTATCAAAAACTCAATGAGACTTTCTCTTTCTCCCGTGCAATCATAACTGTCATACCCATACTTCCCCACCAGTTCCTCTGAAAATCTATTTTCCTTTCAAAAATCACCGAGAATTCCAGAAAATTCCACGCAAATTCTGAAAAAAAAAAAATAGTTAGCAACTCCTACCGGTAGAATTCATGTGATTGTTACTTTAAATGTTAATTGTATTTTTTATTTTGTTTATATTAATTTTTTCCTAGATTTCCGATGGTGATTGTGATAGGAGACAGTAGTGAAGGGCCTCAATTTAAAAAATGGACGAATATTTTCAAAAAAGTATATCACTTGAGTATTTATCGAGATATTCTCGAAAAAATGAAAACAAACAAATTGTTTTTTTTTACGTCATTCAATACCTAGAATTACTCTCGAATTATGGCAATAAATTGTCGGAGTTTCAGATTTTTTGGGACGAGTGTCCCATTTATTTATTAATTTTCGAAAAAAAAGTCCCGCAGTCTGGGCCCTACACCTAGGCATGACCCTCTAATTTTCAAAATGAATAAAAACTCCTATAACTTCATATTTCCACAGCAAGGCAAACAGAAAATGATAAAATATAAAATCCCGAAAGGATATAAATGCTGAATAAAACAATAATAATAATAAATAAATAACTAAAACCTCGTATTTTCCCAAAAAATAAAACCTGTCTCATTAAATTTCAAAAATCCGTACCAGACATGAAATATAATAATTCATATCACCAATAAACGATAAGCCTATCGATACCAACAATAAATTCATGAGTATAATATCAGTGCAGGCATTACCCACAATATTATAAATGAAAAGCCGGCGAACCAAATAGAAGAGGACAGATTAGAAAGAAGTCAGTGCAATCTGCTTGATAAGATATTCCAAATCCCAGGATTTCGTCACTGGTAGTTTCCAGCTGACACGAACTCTTATGAGGCCATAACGGAAAGAGAGGAAAAATAAAAAAATCCGTCTCAAGTCTCACCGGCACGTATCACCCTGTAGTTGAATTCGATTTATATTAGTCCCCAGTTACTCATGATTACGATAAATAACTCATGTACTGCAAATTCATACCGTAAACACCGCAGCTCCTCTCTTTTAATGGCATTTTAATGATTTAAAATGGTAGATTTGGGGCTATTACATCGTTTTATTGTAACAACATCCATTACCTCTCTCATTATCCAAGTGCTTAAGAAGATCCTTAATTACACCATGTTTCAGCACATCGTCAGCTAATCGGTGGAAATAGAGCCTTGGAAATTCCGGCTGAAATACATGGGGTACCGGCTTTGTTGCACTCGTGGAATAGATTTTCTCGTTCAGATATTCCACTCTGTTGATGTCGTCACCGACGCCCTCAGCTGATGGCAAAATGGCCGCCATTCACTGACAGCTCAACAAGAATAACTTCTTTCTCTGGCACACGCAACGACAACCAGAGAACCGCACCCGCATTTACCATCTGCACAGCTGTTTGTATAAAATCATTACACCTAAAGTACTATCACTAAAAATTTACCTCTACATTTTAATCATCTAACCGCATATTTCCCGTAATTCGACAAACTCCACATGTTTTTTGGGAAGATGTAGAGGGCGGTGTCCAGATTATTTTTACTTTTCTTTTATATATGATAAATTACGAACAGGTTGTTCTCTGCATGACATTAAATACCCGCCTCTCCCCCCATTATCCCACGACAATTTAAAAAAAAACAGCTGATTACAAAATCTCCTCCACCCGGCAGATGTAAACAATAAGCCCGTGATTCCAAATTCCATGGAGTAGATCAATATTTCATTACAGTCGGTGATTGAAATTTTTGAAATTAGTAAAATGGAGCCACGAGGTTGAGCTCGGAATTTTATTATCCAGCTCCCAAAGAAAGATAATTCCAGATAGCAACTACCGAGTGAAAACACCCGAGAATCGTGAAACATCGAATAACAATAACCCCAGATAATGCAAAGTAAATACAATTAAAAGAAAAAATATCACGAATACCGGAGTCAGTAACGACAAAGGAAACGCGTCATTCTCATCGTTATCATGTTTTTCACTTACATGTTTTCATAGTCAAAATTCTGACAACGCCGACATTGCAAAAAGTCTGGTGAAGCCCATCCCCACCGTCGGCAGTAAAATAAAGAAAAAAAGAGAACACAGAGAGAAAATCAAAAAAAAAAAAGAAAAAAAGACAAGAAGAAAAATCCTCGGAATAAGGATAAAAGGTGGGTAAAGGGAGTATGTAGAGGGGGTAAAAATGGTTGATGGTAACAGAGGGGGTTGAGGAAATGGTGAGGCTGGTAATATTAGAGTGAGATAGATAGATAAAGGGCACAGCAGGGAAGTGGAAGGGAAGAGAGTAGTAGAGAGGGAATTGTGGGAAATGACGTGAGGGGGGAG